AGGATGCCTTTCATTCTCACCATACAAAGTATTTCAGACAGGCCCTTTAGTGGCAACAAAATCAAAGGGGAAAAAAAAGATAAATAAATAGATAAGCCAGGTAGGCAAGTAGCTTGATGACATTCTTGCATACTTAATTAAAATAGAGCTGTTCCATTCCTGAGCTGCCTTCTTGTGCTGTTTCCTCCTTTGTCCTTCTAGTGGAGAAAATGCCCCAGGGGTGAGGAAGCATTGGGCTACCTTCCCCATCACACTCAATCCAGAAAGGTTCTGATGAGAGCCGCTTTCTGATGAAAATTAACCCAGCAGCAAGCAGGGTCAGATTTTGGTCCAGTTGTTCATAGCCTGCAGTTTTTACCATATGGAAATTAAAAGGATTGCAACCTGCAGCAACTGTGGAAGTCGACAGCAAATTAAAAGGAATATGAGTTCTGACATTCATCTGTAGCAATTTAGGACAGCCTTTTCATTACTGTAAAAATAGCAAGTATTTATAAACAACATCTAGCTCTGATCTGCACTAAATCTCAAATTGCAATATAGAAAAGGCAGGAACAAAGTTAACGCTTCAAAAGCAGATATCTAATGTAAAGGGGAAAAGCAGCTTGCCCAGTTTCACTCCATGGGCTAGGACAGAGCATTGGACCAGACACTGGGCTCTCGGTTCCTGCACGCTGTCTGCTGCACCTCACCGCCTCCTCAGAAAAGGAATGGAGCATCACAGCAGTTTCTGGAAATCACCTTTAGTTCTTCTTCTCTCCCAAAATTTCCCTTTAAATATTTAGTCCAATGCACCTACTAAACTGAATGTTTTAGCAATGCACAGCGATAGGCTCCTTGTGGCTTTGTTTCTGCCAGTGAAATAGCTACAAATGTAAGGTTTACAGAGACTTTCTGTTCCTGTCTAAAATTATCTTTGCTGATCCTTGTGACGCCAAAAGCACAGAACCAATATTCCATAAGTCATGTGAAAAAGGGACTACATTTCAAGCACACTCAGCTAGTGTGGTTACAGTACCATCTATCAGCCATGACCAAAGGTCTGGGCTACCACCATGCCAGGCTTCACACAAGGGGACACTACCTGTTTCCTTTGCTGCATGAGACAGCACTCAGAGTCAGGGCCTGATCCTGCCATCTGGGTGCTTTGCGGTCATGGGGTGGTTGTCCAGCCTAAGAGGAGTCTCTGTGATCCCTGCTCGAACTGCAAGATCAGGGTAGAAATGTTTGAAAAACAGCAGGTGGATGCAGCCCGATGGGGAAAGCGGGGGCTAAGAGGGAGACAACAGTAATTAGCATAAGTAGCGGCAGCCTCAGCTCACCAGCTGCTTTGCCGATTGTCTGCCTCCCTGATTTCAAACAGCAAAGAAGCAATTTGCCGAAGAACACAGTCAGTAGCTAAGACTGCCCCTTAGAACTATTAGGGAAAAATAAACGATTTCCATGGTACAAAAGCAAGGCTTGCAGGGCTGTCATGTAGGAGTTTGCCTAAGTAAGGTATGGAGCATGCAGCTCAAAACAGCCACCAAATACTTCAGAGCGAAAGGCTAAAAAAGGAAGGTTTTAGAGGAGGAAATGAGTCAGTAGCTTGGAGGACAGGAGGGGGAGTTCAAATAGCTGAGGCATATAAAGTAAGCAAGTAGTCACCCTCTCAAATGTGATTCTAGCAAATGCTAGTCAGTGAGGCAGATGTATTGATCTCGGGTTTCTGTTGATGCAGGGTCTTATGCAAAAATGGAGTCTATGGGTGACTTTTTATATTGACCACGCTGGATTTTGAAGCGATCATTCACTGGACAGACACTTGTGAACTGCACTTCACACCAGTGTTTCTGCCTGGAGCCAAAGCAGTCACCATCAGCTACAGGATTGCTGAAATTTCTCAGGGTCCCCTATGGCTAGGGGATGGATTTTTTTGGGGTGGGGAGGGGGAAGTGTCAGGCTAATTGCAAATACCATTTACCTTAAAAAAGGGAGGAGAATTCATCTTTCAAGATTGGTTCATCCAAACATACAGCTTGAGCTTTCAGCCTAGCTTATTTATAGCACTAACACTAGGAAAAAAGGACAAAGCTTGTTCAGTGTTGAAAGGCAGAAGAGCTAGTAAAGAACCCCTTCCTCTCCACAATGCTGTAGCAATTCACAGTATGTCTGTCTTTGTAACAACCTTGTATTGCACTGCAAGGTGAGGACAAAGGGGTAAGTCTCAGCCCAGGAAGCCTTTAGCCTTGCTCATTCATACACCATAACATCTGGCCATAACACGGTGTGCAGCACAGTGGGAGGGTTACTGTCAGTGTGGCAATAAGCCACAAGGCACAACTTTCTCACCTCTGCTCAGGTCCCTATCCCATCAAAAGGGTGGGATGATGGAAAGGGACCTTGTAAATAGAACCAAAATTTCCTCCTGCCCTTCCCAAAACAGGAAGCTTCTCCTCATTTCAGGCACCAAGACAACAGCTATGCAGCAGCCGTGAGAGGACCGTGTTGCAAGCCCTCGCTGAGGAAACTGCAGGACTGCAAACAGGGGCGATGCTTAAGGTCACAGACACGTGAGGAGAGAGCTGTCAAATGAGGGAGCAGCACAGGGCTGGAAAACCAGACTCCCTTTCCCCTACGCAAACAGCAGCACAGAATTTACATGCAGCAGTGGTTCCCAAACCACATCATACATACTGCTAATCCCAAGCAGGCAGCTCTTGGTGCAGGGCTGGAACTCCCAGTGCCAGTGCTGCTACAGCACGAAGAGTCTGTGGAGCCTATGCCAAGGCAGGCTGGTACCACCAATAACCACAAACTTGTCTGTGCATCTTGGTGTACAGCTCCTGCCTCGAGCTTCCGCAAAGCAACACAGCCACTGTGTTTATGCCTCACTAGGCTATATGCTATTTTGTCTTTTGGGGAATGCAATCTTTCAAAAAGCCATCGTGGTTCTTGGTGAGTGCCCTTCCCAGAGCAAGCACTTTTCTCATGAGACAGGAAAAGCGAGAGAGATTTCTCTTACTCCGCTGGTGAAGGAGTTCCTGTCCTCACTGAAGTTTCTTTAACCAGTTAGATACCTTCTCAACCCGCTGCAGTGTTTCCAAAAAGACCTCTTGAAACAGAGTGAGCCAACAGGCCAGTTCCAACTCATTTTCCCTTATAAGTATACAAAATGAAACAGTCCCAGCCCTGTTCTCATGACTTTACATCATCTCTTCCCCTCCTCCCCAGGATGTCTCACTTCTGTAACCCTCTGTCATAGCGAAACCCATCTATGAAGAGCAAGCTTGGAACAGTAACAGAGAAATTACTCACATCAATTAAGACTAAAAAGCACAGCTGCTCCAGGTCTCTGCTGCATGCCACTGGAGATGGAGGTCAGCCATGGCACTGCCATATGGCACCGATCCCCACTGCCAAACAGAGGCTGCCTTGATTTCCTCTCCCCATCAGGACAGTCAGAGCAAAGAAGCAGTACCAGAAGTTGTCCAGAGAAACATACTCTTAGGACTGAAGCTCTACCTATTACACAGGCATTATATCTGACTTATTTCAAAAGAAAAAATCAAACATCTCCCTGCTCAATTCTTGCCAATACTTCCAAAGTAAGTCAACATTTGTATTCGAATGTAAGCATTCCATGATTAAAAAGATCAGAAAAGACCCTAGAGAAGAACTACCCCCTCAGTCCAATTCAAGTCCAAGTCGTGCTGGTAGGTCTTTGCTGGTTTCACCACAAATCTGTTCCACATTCTCTTACAAAAGGAATCTCTGGTCAGAGGAAGTCACCCAACACAAAATGCACTAATGCAATAGGACTGCTTTTTCAATACATGAATCTTCAGTATGGGGTCTTTCAGCAACTTCTATCTAATGTGAACAGGCTTAACAGGTTCTACCTTTCTACCCACTACATCTACTGGGGTAGGCTGCAAGGAGGGGAAAAAAAAAATATCAAACCCCTTTAATTAGAACAGCAATATGGATGAAAATTGTAAGGTGTGTAAGCATGGCTCACACCTTTAGAATTAAAGCTTCATGCTAGTTGCCTCATACCCAAGCCCTGAAAACATGCCATCAAGTCTTGGTTTTGTTTACTGCTTACAAGTAGGCACAGACTTAACAAATAACCTGGGTGCTGGGGTTTTTTGCTTATCGATTCAAGCCGGGAACATCACTGCAGTCAAGATTCAGTAATAAAACCTAACTTTCTATATATTTTGTAACATCAGTAGGTGCCTGTGTACTCTGTTTACGAGCAGCCTGAGCTTCACTGCCTGGAAACATTAAGGAATGAATATTTTCGTCGCGGTCAGAGTGAGCAGGACTGCCATGAACACGGAACAGCAGCTTCTCCGAGCGCCCCGGTCTCCGCAGCAGCGTTTTCTCAGGATCAGCTTTGTCCCGAGGACAAAGCCGGTCGTTTCGGCCACCTGGATGAAACCGAGGCCGGGATCCGGGAGTCGCGAGTGCCGGCGGGAAGCGCAAGGCTTCTGCCGCAGCAGCGCGAGCCAATCAGGAGTGCCTGACTGAGATCGCACCAAAGTAGGTAGTGAAAAACCCTCGAAGGAAAAAAAAAAAAGAGAGAGAGAAAGGAAAGTCCCACACTTCCGCCTCGCCGACTCTTCCGCCCGCCCGGCTCTGGCCGTTTCTGCTGCGGCCGCCTAGCCCCGCGGGCTTCCCGCCCGCCCCACGGCCATCCCATGGACCCCCCCCCGACCCCTCACGCCCATCTCAGTCCCCTTCAGCCCCGCTCCCAGCAGCCCAAATCCTTCTTACTCCCTGCTAACAGCCGCCCCCCCTCCTTTCCCACACGACTCCCTCAACCCCCACTCTCCCCGCCGCCCCGTACACCTTAGGGCAGGTAGCCCCACCCCACGTCTTTGAGGGGGCGCCGCCATTAGTCGACCGAAGCGTCAATCAGCCGGCGGCTCCCCTGTGATTGGGCAGTTCAGCCGGGCGGCAGGAGGGGGCCGTGTGTGAGGGCTGCGGGTGCCCCCTCCCCGCCCGCGCGTGCGCGCGGGGCTAGGGCGTCGCCACGCGGGGCTCCCGCCATAGCAACCGCTTCCTCCTCCTCCGGGCACAGCGGCCGTGACGTCGGCAGCGCTTCCGCCCGGCTCGCGCCCTCGCCGCTTCCCTTTCTGCCGCCGGAGCCCGTGCCGCGCCCAGATACCCGAGAGGAGCCGCCGCCGCACCACGCTCCGCCGCCCACCCGCCCGCCGCGCCCAGCCGACGCCATGGTAGGGATCCGGGCGCCGCCGGGGGGGCGTTAGGCTTCTCCCCCTCCCGCCTTCATCCTTGAGGGAAAGCGGGGAGGGGGGCGGCGGTACCGCCCGCCGCATCCTGGCTGGCGCCGCCGCTGTGCCCGGCAGCACGGCGGTATCTCACCCCCCTTTTTTTCTCCTTCTCCCCCCCTTACCCCCCCCAATCCTTCCCGTTCGCCTTTGAACTTGAGGCGGCGAATCCGTTCTCCTCCCTTCCCCCTAGCCGCCCCCCCCAATCCCGCCATGAGGCGGTGGAAGGTTACTCTCCCCCCGTTGAGGCGATGGAACTGTCCTCCCTCCTTTTCCTCACCCCGCCATGAGGTGATGGTACGTTCCGTGCTGCACACAGGCACTGGGGCGGGCGCATCCATTCCACCCTGTGACGGGGGGGGGCCGGGCGAGGCAGGAAGAGCCCGTGGGGGGGCGATGCGCAGCCCCTCCCCGCGCCGCAGGGCGCGGCCGGGGTGGGGAGAGGGGCATCGTCGCCCCCGCCCCTCCGTGCGAGGGGCTGCGTGGGAGGGGACTGCAACCTGGTGGAAAGGCACCGCGGATGGGGGCCCCCTTTTCCCCGGGGCCGGGGGCTGCCCTGCTCGGGAGGAAGCGCGGCCGCCGCCGCAGCCGCCCCGGCGCGGTCCCGGCGGGAGCCATCTTCCCACGGCCGAAGGGCTCGGGCCTGGCCTAGAAAACGGCGTCGGCTCCGCCGGAGGCCGGGACGAGCACGGGCCCTCCCAGGGCCAGCCGGGATCCCGTTCGCCGGCCCCGGCTGGAGCCGGCCGCGCTGGTAGCGGACAAAAGGGGGGAAGCGGAACTCGCGGAAGGGAAGCGCTGATCGTAACAAACAGAGTTTCGCAGCGGCCTCTCGAGGAAGCTTAAATTTTGAGGTAGTTGTTGTAAGGACTTGGTTTTTGTGTGTTTTTTTTTTTATTATTTTTTTTTTTTGCTCCTCCACACAGTGCTGGAAACACTTTATCTGAGTCATTATGCTGGAAGCATAGAAACGTGTCAAGCATACACACTGACTTTCCTGTGTTTCCAGGCTTTCAAAAAACCAAAAGTGCCGAGGGTCTCCTTGCATAAATGGAGTGGAATAGACCAAATGCCTTTTCGACTTCCTGGTGGCTCACTCTCGGTTTGCTTTGCCTATGCTCAAAGTTTGCATCCCCGTTTAACAGTGGGAGCTGTGACTGGCAAATTCGTCTGAATTAATATCTCATGCAGTTTTGATTCCTATCCTGTTTTTGCCTGAGTCCAGCAACACACACTTTTGTGTTTTGACACACTTGTCTGGGGTTTTTGTCTTTATTAGAGGTGTTACATATTGAGGCCTTCTCATGGTATTTCTCATTAGTTTGAATGTGTGCTATATCCAGTAAGTGAACTTTTAGTCCTTATAGGGCTGGCAGACAGGATGTATTACTAATCTCCCTGCTTCCTCTAACACCCAAGTTGGAGCATCTGTGACTGGTCTGCAACATGGAGCAGAGCTAATGGGAGTTGTAGCTGAAGTTGTTAAAAAGTCTGACAAGACTTGCAGCTCTTGTTTAAAACAGGCCTGTCTCAGCAGGCCAGCTACCACCTCTGCAGTATGCAAACCGAGTTTAGACTGACTACTTCGTGTGTCAGGCTTCATCTTGCTTTGGAAGTAGAGAATTCCCCAATCAGTCAAAACTAGTATTTCTCACAGTGATCTTTTTGCAACAGGGTCTGGGTTGGCTTTTTTGAGATGCTAAAAATGAACTTGCTTATGGGCAGTGTAGGCCTTCTGGCAAAATACAGTAATGTCAGCAGGAGGGCATCGTTTAGTATAAAAAGAGCATTGGATTTTCAGATTTTGTGTCTTGCCACAAGGTTCAGTTTCTTTCCTATTGGATTAAATGAGTCTATGGTCTTTGGAGGACCATGCAAATTATTTTTCTTGGTTGTTAGTCAATACTGTTCCCAAATCTGTGTAATTACAAGGTACATATGCCTCATGTACAAGATGACAGCCTCATGACAATTGGTAGTGTGGGTGTCTGGCATGTTCCTACTTGCCTTGCCAGAATTGCTGTCAAGGGGCTCCTGCTGGGTGCAAGGGCTGACCTAAGTGATCCCATGTAGGAGAGCCTGCAGGCAGCCAGGACTTGTGTGTGAAGCTGTTCGGAGCTTTCGCTTGCTTGGCTGTTCAGCATTCACGCAGTATTCTGGAAGGATCCCTCATTAACAAGTATCTGTGGTGCCCAAAGCAGGCCTTCAAAGCCTGGTTTTGAGGGTAACTTTTAAGTTTTAGGTTGCTGTAGGTGCCTGGAGAAAGAATTCTTGGGCTCATTATAGCTGATTTCTGTGCTGAATATGTTCTAAGAAGCTTTAATTTTCTGCAAGAGTCCTGTTGCATACGAACTTACACCTGTATTACCTTAAAACCTTGCGTTTCAACAGAGGAATGGGTGCTACTGAAAACTAATACCCTGCTACTGGCTGGTTTTCAGCAGTATTGCTGGGATTGCCTTTTGTGGGTATTGCTTGTTTTACCTACCTTGATAATTAAACTGGGAGTGAACTTCATGGTAGCTCAGAGAAGGAGGTAATTTCCTCTTTGGCTGAAAGCTGAGGAAATGACCTCCAGGAATTCAAGGGATAGTTTTTTCCAATTTTTTAAATAATTTCTTTCTTTCTCATCTCTCCTTGTTGATAACAGTTCTTGTTGTCGTGGGGGGGGAGGGGGAAGAAAAGCTGAATAGAGTTCTGATTCTACCCCTCCTCCTGCCAAAAGAGACCAAATAATGCTAAATAAAAAACTTGAGTCTAGCTGGCAAGATCTGTCTGCAAGTGATATCGAATAACTCCATAGTTCTTGCTGGTTTATGGTGTGCAAATATAGCCTGTTACACAACAGCAGTAAAAGGCAGTTAGTTATGTTTCCCATCATGCTTCACATCTGAATTGAAGCTTTGGACTTTCAGGCTGTCCCCTGTAAACAGAGGTGTCTGTCTGTCCGGCTGTAGATAGCAGGGCATGTGGGCCTTGCAGAACTCAGGAAGTCACTGGTGTTCCAACACGGTTGCTGATCTTTAAGATCAAGTCAAAGTCGTTGCACCTTTCCTACTCAGTACAGTGGGGGTGGTAGTATCCGATATGTTTTCTTGAGTGCTCAAATAACAAATTAAAATCAAAGCAGTATTTCAAATCCGTGGTTTTGACCACCTACATTTTTAGTTGACTTGTTGGCCTTAGCTGACACCCTTTTCAGAGGCCTGATTTGGCAAAATTGTCTTCCAGCCTGTTAGTGCAGCCAGGCTGTGACCCTCCCTTTCTACTGGGTGCTCCCACAACTATGTTAGCTTAGTTTGCCCTTCAAGGTCTCCGTGCTGATGATGTCCCAGGGCATTATGTTGTGTGGCAGTGTAAGGGACAGCTCTGTGAAGGGTGCTGTCCCAGACCAGTTGGGTAGTAGTAGTTTAAACTGAAAAAGTATTTGTTGCAGAGATGTACTATGACACATTACTGAGTCTTATGGAAATGCCACGTGGTTACACAAGCAGTTCTGACAGTGGCAGGGAATTTCGAAGGTAGATAGGAAGGATGATATGCCAAGCATAGGGGAAGCAGTGTTTGCTGAAGAAACTAAGAACCAAATACATGCAATAATGTGACTACCAAACATGGGAGCACAATGTCCTCAAATCTGCCCTTGCAATTAAACAAGACATATTTTAATAAAGATCTTGGTGTCAAATTCTGGAAAAATTGATGATGCTTTTCCAAGAAACACCAGTTTCCACTTGAGTACCTGTGAGTAGTTATCACCCTGGTGTATACAATGTGTGTGTGGTTCCCAGACAAAACAAGTCAAGAACTGGTTCTTTAAATGTCTCTGTAGATAATGCATGCACAGGCACCACTATGGAGAGCTCTTGGATTCTAATCACAGGAGAGAAACCCAACAGTGTAAAATTGTCAAGACTTAAAACCAAATCTCATCCTTCAAACTTGTCTTGAGGCAAACTAAGTCATTAGTTTAAAGTCTTGTTGGCTGTCTCACAGTTGAGGAGGAAACAAAGACTCTCCTTAGATAAAATATTTTAAATATTCAAGGAAAATACTGGAGTGCACAGCATTTCCTAACAAAAGAGAAGGCAAATTTCAGTGTGTCAAAATTGTGTTTCCATGCAGGCTTGCTACAAATCCAGTTTATAAGGTGTCTGGCATGTATTTCACTCCTGAAACAGCTTTCTGTATGTGGGGATTTTCTTGAGAAAGCTTTGGATTATTCTTCAGTCTTCCCCAGTTAAGATTAAATTTCAGTTCAGGTACTTGGCAATGGAGGCAAAGTGTTGGAAGCTCTTAGTGAGGGCAGCTGCATATGGCTCTTGCAGCAGGAAGCATGCTAGACAGAAGGCTCACTCTTTGGGCATTCTACTCTTGCAAGACTTCTGCAGTGCTTTGCACTTAAGTCAGGAACAGTGGCTTTGTGTAGGGAATAAGAGCTGCTGTGTTACTCCAGCGCATGCTGACAAGGCATTTAATGCAATCATTACCTCCTCATGTGCCTACAGCAGTCCATATGAAAGTACAATGGGGATACTGGTATAACTGCCCTGGAACGATATATGAAGAGCTCAGCCCACAAGACACACCATGTTTGCAATAGTTGCACAGAGGTGCTGGGGGAGAACTCATTTTTGCTGATTTCCTCAGAGAAACTCACTCTATCCGCTCTTGCCTGAATATGTCTCCCTCAATATGCTGTACTGGCATCATTTTCCCATCTGGTAATTAGGTGACTTGCCTGCTTGCTGCTGCCTTATTTCAGTGAGGTTAAAAGGCCCTGCAGTTAAGGTTCAGTCCCCTACAACAAAATATCACCAGCTGATTCATGGTCATGTATCTCACAAGTACCAGTCCAGAGCTAGATAACTGCTTTTATACTTGAAAAGGAATAGAACCAGACTAACTGCTGTAGCTCTACAGCATTCAAACCAGAATGCACAAAATAATAATGAATGTGCTGTATTGCATCCTCTAAGCAGAGTAGTACCTGGCCAAAGAGAGAAAATCCAGACGAACAAATAAATGTTTACTCTGTCATTACTGGTGGGGTGGAGGCTTCTCACCAGCTCTTCTTCTGGACAAGACACCAGAGATGAGGTTAAAATGTTGATTGAGGACATGTACTTAAAATATAGCATTTCTCCTTGTTCCAGCGCTCTTAACAGTCATCCTGTTGATGTTCTATGCAGAGCGGTTTCAACCACCTTACAACAGAAGCTGTCTAGGTTTTGGTTTCTTTTACTTTTTAAGTATGTTTGTGAAGCCAACCGCGGCTGGTATGAGCCAAGAGTTGAAGAGGGAGTCCTACAGTTGAAATAGTAGATCCTCTTTTTGGAAGTAATTAGTTCATTGCACTGGGAATTTATGGGCGACACTCTACTGCTATGACACAGTTATAGGGTTTTCTGAGATGGAACAAATCTGCATTGTCCCTAGCAACATAATGGCTGCTAATGTCAGCCTGTGTGATGAATCCAGGGGTTGTACAGCAGCTGCAAAAAAATAGTAGCACCAGCTACTAACAGCCTTTTGCTTTGAAAAGCTAACAGGTGTAGTTCTCACTATTGCCCCTTCAGCTTCTGGTCTGTCCCAGTTATAAACTGCAATTTAACACTGAATTCTGAGTTTCCAGGCTAAATACTCAACATTTTTGGAATCTGAACTGACTGACCAGCAGTGCTCAGTTTCTTTTTAAGGAAACAACTTGTCTCCCTACTTGGAGACATGTTTCTGGCTGTGTAGTAGTACAAGCATATGCACTTGACTGCACAGTTTGCATCAACCTGCAGCTCTATTGCTGTTGCTTCTGGCTCTCTGCTGAGCATTAACCTTTTCTTTCAAAGTTAACATGAATTGGTGCAGGGGAATTAGTTGTTGTGGTGTAGGAGCAAAGATCAAGAATGGACAAAGGTGGAGGTAAGTGACAGGGCTTTTAAGTGATTAATTGCCTTGTTCCCATGCTAGTTCAGGCTTTCTGTGCATTTTCTATGACTGAAGGTCAGGTCTTAACACCTGTTTTCAGCTACTAAGGTGCCATTGCAAACCTTAGGGAGGAAAAAAGTTCTCGAGTTCCCTGTGGATTGGTCCCTAGTGAATGATACAATAGCTCTACTTGCTGCACTGTTTGCTTTATTAAGGCAACTTTGTATTAATTAGAGTCTTCCCAAAGAGGCTCTTGCCTACACGAAACACAGGGATAAGGAAGGGAAAGACCTTCATTCTTCATTACCTCTCAGTCACACTCTGACAAAGTGCAGTCTCTCTGTATGATTGAGGTGACATAGGAATGAGTCACTTTGAGTCATGTTTGTACTTTTGCTCAAGTTATCCTGGAATAGGCTTTCTCTGCTTACTTTCCTCACCTTATTGGTGATATGCAAAAGGATGGCTGCCTGCCAGGGAGCTGAGGCGCAGTGAGTGACTTGCTGTTCTCCTGTCCCAAAGTAAGTGCAAGGAATTCTGGATAGGTTACCCCTAGTAGACAGGCCATGCATTATAAATCTTGAGGCATGTCCCCTTGTATTTGGGTAAACCTCAAAAGAGCACTGTTCTCATACTACAGAAAAGCTTCTGTCTCAGATACACTGCTGGGTGAGATTTTCTGTGACTAGCAGTTGGGAGATGTAGATACCAAACTCCATGGTAATAGGTTCTGCTAGCTGTGCCACCTCTCCTCACTGGGTTAGCAATGCTATGCCAGCCACAGTTACAGAAGGAAACATGTTGGTAGAAAGAGGAGAATCCGGGCTCGTCTGTGGTCCTCCATGGTAGTCATTGGTCAAGGCTTAAAAAAAAAAACACACATTAAGTCATTGTCCAGTCTATAACCATCTTTCAAGGACAGCCTGTATGAAAGCTAGCACTGAGCAGTTCCCCTGCACCTCTGTCTCCTTGGTTTTGCAGCTGAACTCTGTTGTTTCTCTAAGACACAAAATAATTCTGTTGAGCTCACATTTTGGGGCTGAAGGTAAGGAAAAACAAAACGAACCTTTCGCCTTTTTCAGTTGGTGGATCTCAGATGGTGCTGTACCTGACTGTTAGTACTGCTGACGGTGCTCATAGCAATGATGTGTGGCAGTTTACAGAGAGGGAGGAAGGCAGGCAGTTTTCCATCTGAGATATGAATTGTCATATCTGAGGATAATGTCATGTGAATTTGAAGACCAAAGACCAGTGAGGGAGGAAGCAGTATTTTAAAGGAATCTCACTGTTCACACTGCATACAGCACTTTGAACAGATTGTTGAGTATCAGACAGCCTTCATTTGGTCTTTTCTGCTCTGGCCATGACATCCTTCCATCAGCATCAGCTAGCTTCCCATACTTGCAGTATTCACTATTGCACAGCTGCTGTTAAGCTCTCCAACTTTGCTGTATTCTGAGAACAACACTCAGATGCAAATGCCACAGGTTTTTTCTGTCTTATTCCCAAAAATGCAGCAGGCTGAAAATGCAGCTCAGCCTGTTGTTGTTCTTGCTAGGTCTTGTCCTCTTTATTTTGTGCAGCTGCCTTTAACATTAGATTGATAATGCTGCATGTGCACCTCCTATTACAGCAAACACAGGGGATACCATACCACTAACTACAATTTCCCATCAGACTTCAAGGGGGGGAGGGAAGTTGAGAAGGCAGGCAGCTGGCTTTACAAACTGATGGAGGAGCTTGCAGGTTCTCCCTTTAAAATCCTGAATTCAGAGCAACTTCTGAAAGTTGGTTTGTTCAGCTAAAAACTGTACCACTGCAGTCCCAGTACCCCACTACATCTCTCTTGATCTCTAAACTAAGTCCACATGACACGTGTGGAATTTGGCCAGTTTTACCTCTGTTCCTAAAGCTGCTAGCAAGCATGCTAGAAATGGCTAGGAAATTTTGAATAGCAGATCCTTGTGGGCTTGATTGTCTAGCTAGCGTGAAATGGGTAACAAAATTAAGCTTCTGTAATCTTGGAGGACAAGGAGTGGACATGTGTGTAAAACTCCCCCAAAACAATGTTCTAATGTAAGTAAGACTGTGCCTTCTTTGGAATAGTTTTGGTTTGGCAGCTGGCTGTGGTCAGCAGCAGACTCCAGATTCTTTACTTGGCTTTGGAAAAGAGGGTCTGCAGCCTTTTCTGAGGAAACTCTTGGGCCACTAGTGACTATTGTTAGTATCTATTGTCTTCTAGCCTCGTGTTTAAGGCAGTGCAGTAATGGAGTTGCAAAAATTTGCCGTGGTAGCCCTAAAGGTCTTTGCTTGTGTCTTTGCAGGCATCTGGAGTACAAGTTGCTGATGAGGTATGCCGTATCTTTTATGACATGAAAGTGCGGAAGTGCTCTACACCTGAGGAAATTAAGAAAAGGAAGAAGGCTGTCATCTTCTGCCTCAGTCCAGACAAAAAGTGCATTATTGTGGAAGAAGGCAAAGAGATTCTGGTGGGAGATGTCGGTGTGACAGTTACCGACCCTTTCAAGCACTTTGTGCAGATGCTTCCTGAGAAGGATTGCCGTTATGCCTTGTATGATGCAAGCTTCGAGACCAAGGAATCCAAAAAAGAAGAGCTGATGTTTTTCTTGTGGTAAGCCATCTTCCCAACTGACTCATTCCTAACATGCAGTTCAAGCACTGCAGGTGAGGTCTCTGAGCGTTTGTATTGCCCAGGCTGGCAAGATGGTAGGCTTAAAGTGAGTCGGGCAGCCCGATGCCTGTATTCTGAGCTGTGAGACATTTCACTTGTTCATGGTGGGAAGGATACTGCTTCTGGCTGTGCTGAATAATCCGTGTCAGTAATTGCACTCTCTTTGGCATATCCCATTAGGGCACCAGAACAAGCACCTCTCAAAAGTAAGATGATCTATGCCAGCTCCAAGGATGCAATCAAAAAGAAGTTTCAAGGTATGTAATACAGCCGATGCTCCTAGCTCTGCCGTGCCTCTAGGATACTTACACAGGAAGGCTTAACCATTGGCTAATTGGTTTGGGACTTGGGTGTTGTTTTATTTTGGTTTTTTGAGTAACTAGTGAGAGGTGAAATGTCACATGACAGAGCTAAAATGAGCTCTAGCTAAAATTTATACTGTCTGACTAAATTTTAGAGGCACTAGAACTGTGCTCAGAGCAAGAGCAGGTTTTGCAATGTGTGACACTGTGGCTGCACAGTACAGAGCACATTTGTACCATACAGGCTAGAAACCATTAGATTCATAACTCAGAGCTGCATTTTGTGCAGAGCTGCCTCAGTGGCAGAGGACTTTCAAGCCTGTGTCTGTTGAAATGTCATAAATTTACTGCGGTGTAGTAACAGTATTTAAGAATTCGCTTGATTCAGAGGTGCAGTTGTGATTACTCATTCCTAAAGGCATTGCATCTCCAAGTGAAGAAGCGAAGTTCTATTCAGCCTGTCAGGCACCATTAACCAAGGAGTAAACACCTTGCAGCATTCATAAATTTCATGCTAAGTCAATCTGGCTTATAGCCAGGTAGCGCTGCCCCCTGTTAAGTTCCTTTGTGCTGCACTGGACCAAAATCTTGCAGTGTGCAAGACTGACAAGATCACTGGGCAGCAGTGCCAGCCTTCACAGGATAGCATGCCCCAGGGATTGGAAGTGCCCAGGGAGACTGTTGTGTGCTGCACATGTGGAAGTTGAAAAAAAAGAAATCCTGAAAAAATTCTGCCTTTCACCACTGAAGACAGGCATGGTTTGGGATCCCGACCCCTCAAAAAGAAAAAAACACTGTTGATTCCTTAGACTGGCTTTCTAGATGCTTTCACCCTCTTCTGCAGAGCCAGCAAGAGCTGAGTCAGCCATCTCCATGTGCTTGCATGTAGCTCCCTCCCCAGCTGTACCCAGGGCAGCTCAAGACATGAGGGATTTACTTGTAAGAGCCTGCGATGAAAGGCCAACAGATTGAGCTCTGACCTAGTGACAAATTTCTCCCCACATGTCCCTACATTGACATGTGGTGTGTAGCCAGATGTCTCCAGTGACATATCAGGGAAAAAACAGATTTCCTAAGCTAAGGCAGGACTTGTGTGTTTGAGTGACTGGATTTCTTCTTCTAATATTACTACCAAGTATGTTTCTTTAATTAATTATCAGCATGTTGACATACTGCATTATTGAGTGTTTTGCCTCTTTTTTAGGCATAAAGCATGAATGTCAAGCAAATGGGCCAGAGGACCTCAACCGAGCTTGCATTGCTGAGAAGCTAGGAGGCTCCCTAGTCGTAGCTTTTGAAGGAAGTCCTGTGTAGATGTCATACAGTGCCACAACTCTACAAGCATTCCATGTTTTAATATATCAGTTATATAAAGCAAACATTCTAGGCAAGGGTTTCACTAACAGTAGGGAAGCTGTCTTGTAGAATAAAGTAGATTTTGGAGATGTAGCTTGTATGTACAAATGACCCTAAATAAATCAAATCTAAGGATTTATCTTGGTGTATTAATATTTGCATTGGTTGTCCAGCCCAATACTGTCCCCAATGGATTAACACTAAAGGTCTCAAAAAATTTGAGCAGTGGATCATGAAAGGGGGGGGAGGTGAGAACAATCTGGCTCTTGTTCTTGCTTTTTTCTAAATTGTAACAGGCAAAATTCAGTCAGTCGTTTTGAAGCTACTAGCCAAATTGCCAAATTCAAAAGCTTTTTCCCCTGTAACCATTTAAGACAAAACTTAAAACCTGTAGTTAAACTTAGGCTAAAGCAACCTGTTGGCACCAAACTGGGTTAAATTCTTAGTGCTTGCAGTTGCTGAGCTGTACTAAAAAAGCCTAATTCTGAAGTTAGAGATAAAACAGACACACTTTTCTGGAGAAATAGTCCTAATCCCCTCCCTTGTAAACTCCTGGTGCAGTAATAATATTTAAAGGTTCACTTGTTCTATAGGTTCAATTTCCTTGTTATGAAGTGTCTTGAGGTCTCTTTCAGCCTGAGTGATTCTATAAAAATTGCTTTTTCTGTTGACATAGTTTAATTTAGAACTACCTTACTGTCTCTAATACACACCTACTAGTGGATCAGATGCTTCTGAGGCTTTTATAAATGCAGATTCTTATATCAGAGCTTTTCAGTTATCGGTAATAAAATGAGAAGGAACCACAACTTGAAAAGTGGTATTTTCAACCCCAGTCTTTGGTCACTTGGTCCATTTGTCCATAATAACCATTGATTTAACTTAGTAAAACGAATCAGCCTGACTAATACGGCTTGATCTGGGCTTTTTGTCTGTTAGCTTCTTTAATTCTGTAGAAATGCATGGAAATATCACCTACTAGAAAGTTTGACCTGAAATGCCTTTTGTATGGGGGGTAGAGAACATTCCTGTGCCAGCTACAGAGATCTTGAAAGCTTCCATGTTTCACCAGTGGTTGATTAAAGCTGTTTCCTTTGTGTAATGTGTACATGGGAGTTGCATAGAGTTTTCTTGTATGTCTGTAGAGAAAAAGAAAAAAAAAAAAAACAAAACCGTTAGCCTCCAGTGCGTTACTGTGATGTTCTGTGTGTGCCAAATTCAACTAGCCTTAAATAAATGGGCTTCCCTTCCCCTGGATCAGTGACTGATTCCTCTCCAGCCTCTGGATTAGCCTTCCTGCAGCAGAGCTGGCACCGTGGCTGGGCACACCAGTGCCCTGTGTAAGCTGTGTGCTCAGGGAGCTGCTGTGCCTTCTGCACCTCCTGACTGCCCTGTGCTGCTCTCAGGGGAGCAAGATTGGGGGGGAGACAGGCTGGAAGGAAGAGCTGGTGGATTTGGGGGGATAGCATGTTCGCCTCTGCAGTGTGCTCCCCTCCTTGTCCCTGCACCCCTCTCACCATGACTGCCTGCCTGCTGCAGGCTCTGGCTCCCGAACAGCACCTGCTCTCTGCGTTCTAGGCTCTGTGTGCAAATGTCCAGGGGTTGGGCAGCTTCCTGGGAAATGTCTCCCTGTTTGCAGTCTGAGCAGCAGAAACCCAGCCACGTGACAGTTATCCTGTGCAGCTTTCCCTGTGAGGACTGAAGGAGCTTTCTGTGGCCAGCCTCACAAAGCTCAGGCAGTTACAGGCTGTCCCTTCCTCTGCAAGCTGTTCCCAGCTGTGCAGGGACAGAAAACAGACTGTCCCTGCAGCTCCTTGGCAGAGCAGTGCCAGCACTGCGCTGCTGTATCTGCAGGGCCAGGGAAATAATGGTCCATTGCTAACTCAGCATGTGCCCTCTCTGGCTATGCTGCATGGTTAAAACCTTTCATTAGGCAGGCATTGACTGCTTGCTCTAACTTGGCACCCATGCGGGTCACACGGTTTGGGAGCAAAAGGTTTTCTGATGCAAAGGGATCCACTGGAGTGAAGCTTTCTGATTTTGAGCAAAGCAAACTGTCTTGGTTTCTGCTGGAGCTTTTAGCTTCTTTTCAGTCAACTGAGAGCTTGCCCAAGGGAGTAATTGTGCTCATAAATAGCTCCTCCTTGCCTAGGTGTCTGCAGTACTGGTCTTTGTCCAAAGTCCAGGTTGAGATAAGGAAATAAGTATGACACACGGGGATCAGTGCTGCCTGACAAACAGAGGCAACTCCTAGCCAAGATCCAGTTGATAGCTAGTGCCTCCATACTGCAGGCATCTTTGAAGGGATGTCTAGCCCAGGTGACGTGGTGGGCTTCTGCCTGGGATTTTGTTCCCTGGTTAAAAAATGGAGCAGGAGATGCTGCAATAGAGGAAGGCTGTCAGACCTGTAAGGTAGGAGGGCGTTTCCCACAGCATGAAAGCCCTCAGATCAGGGACTGGGTTCAAAGTGCCTTAGTGCCAGAACTAAGTGATAAGAGGTCTGAGGTGGCACTTTGGGCTTTGGCTAGATGTGGTGCCACAGTTTAGGCCGATTTAAGTCTTTGACTGCTTTTAGGACCTTCACAGCAACTCCTGAAATTACAGTCTGGCCTCTCTGCAAGACTACTCCTGCACTCCAGGGCTGGCAGTAACTCAGCCTTCAGAGCTTCAGGCTTGTCCACACTGGAGGTTGTGGACCAAATTTCACCCCCTCTCAAGGTTGGTTGTCCTTCTGCTTTTGGAGGGGATGGAAAGCACAGGAAGGTGTTTACCCTTGCGACTTTTTTAAGATTTCTCCCAATCACCCAGACTTGAAAAGGTGAGGCAAGACAATATGAGGAACTTTTTCTATGACTTGGCTGGTTGCTGGGGAGAGAAATTACTTTCTAACAGGGGTACATGAAGAAAAACGTGAAGAGATTCAGGTGATGAAGACAGCTCAGAGCCATACAAGTTCAGCAGGACGTGCCCAGGTAGTGCAGCTTGGCTGCAGCAAGGGCAGAGCAGCTGGAACTATTTTGAAGTCCACATGCAGGATATGGTTTCCCAAAAGCCATTTCTGTCCATTACACGTGGGAGAAAATGGGAAAGGAAGATTCAGACTGATAATTCAGGCCTAAGTGTGAACAGCAGGCAGTGTAAATGCAATTTAGCTGTTCCAACAAAAGGTTAACTTGAATGCCTTAAGCCTTGATAAGCCCAGGTACCCAGGCTGAAAGATAACTCTGGGCATGGCTGAATCAGCAGAAGAATCCAGTGTTCCTATCCAAAGTCACTCCACCTGGGCAATTTCTTGATCTTTATTAATAAAGGTTCCTGCCTGTGGTGCTGGGGCTGCTGGTCATACTAGTTGTGAGTCACAGGCTGACAAGTAACAAGCTTGGGTGGCCTGGAGGAAAGGAGATAACCCTCGGCGTGTTGCCCAATGGGGTGGGCACATTGCAAAATCCCACCAGCTGCAGGGAGATTGGGGGCTGGCCAGTCCTCAGCCCAGCACAGTCTTGGGCAAGGCTTAGGGTTCTCCTAGCCACTCAGGATGTCCTTCTCCTTCGACCAAGGTGCTGAGGAAAGAAAAATATCCCAATGGTACAACTCCAGGTAAAAAAATCTGCTAAACATCTTTCCCCAAAGAGACTTGTTTTTTATATCTTTGCTTAATGAGACCATTCTCTCTCTTTATTCCTAAAACAGCCAGCTCAGCAGTGTCCCAGAAGGGCATTGTATCCCCCTGTGCCAGGCACACTGAATCTGCTCTTGTGAGCTTCTGGAGCCCCACCAAAGGCAACCTGCTCCAAAGGGTGTTTGGAACAATGACTGCCCTCCTTGCATTGGCTGTTTTGGGGTCTTTTTTAGTGCTTGTGTGGGCATGCCTGGCTATCTGCTCTCATTTGCACAGGAGCTCACAATAAAGGAAAGAGTTGTTGCAAAAGCAAAAAAACTGAAAAACCTAGGGAATCGCATCACTTCACCTGCTGCTGTGGGGCCCTTCCTGCCTGTGACCCCCTAGGGGTGATGGCCACTCTGATATGTTCCACAGCTCTCTCCAGTCTTGGGGTGGGTGGGGGTTTTGTGCAATCCTGAAAAAATGCAGGCATTCCCTCACTTTTGGGGACCTTAAAAGCCAAACAGTCGGGCATGCTGGTTTGCGGCAAGTGACGGATTATGCTGACATGTTGAGGTCACCAGGTGGTCCTTGATTCATGCATTCCTCTCCATGTGCCACAAAGTCCAGAAAGAGAAACTGAAGCCTAATCCTGGCTGTGGGGCAAAGGTCTTCTTCCCGAGTTTGTCCCTATAGTGTGGGGAGACTTGCTGCATGCAACAGCCCTATTTTGGGAAGGTTGTGGGGAGGGGACACACAAGGGTGGGAGACAGGTTGTGGGGCAGGAGTGTGCGTCTCATCTTTGACCAGGTAAGAAAAAGGAGTCCTGCTGAATTCTGGCTGAGAAAATAGCAGGATGAAAGCCACACCCTGCCCCACATTTTATCATGGCCCCAAAAGCCATAGGGCTAGAGGAGGGACAGGATGTCCACCCAATCCTGTGGAGCCTCTGGTGTGCAATATAGGGATTGGTATCACACTGGCCTTCCCCAGGAACAAAATGGAGGCAGGTCTGTCCCTCATCCTCCTTCCTAGCCTTGGCTCTTCACACACCCTAGAGGGACTGAGCACTTTGGGGGCCTTTTTCTCCTCTCTCTCAAATTCCTGCTGATGTCAGTACTGGGCTCAGCAACTTTATTGTGGGGAGACAGGCACCAAGCTGTCACGTGGCCTCTGCCATTTCCTAAGAAACCAGCTTGAAAATAAAAAAAGCAAGGGAAAAAAAAGAACAAAACCAGAAAGAACAATAAAAGAAAGAACAATTTAAAAAAAGGAAGAGAAAAAAAGGAAAAAAAACCAAACCAAAAACGGAAAGCCACAAGGAGAGAGCAGAGAGCTAGAAAGCCTGAGAGTGACCAAGGGCCACCACCATCACACAGCACCCGCAGGGACAGATTACAGAGGAGCACTAATGTTTAAAGCAAGCACTAAAGTTTAAAACAATTCCCAGGAGGAATGGTCCCCATAGGGCTGACGTGGCTCACCCTGCCATGCCCATCCCCACCTCAGCATGACCACGCAGCCAGGAAGCAGCCTGGGCTGCCCCCATGCCCCTGCCACCATGGCAAGGGTGGCAATCCCTCTGCCAACCCCCCGACAGGGAACCCAGCCCTGTACCGCCAGCGTGAAAACACAGTTTCCTCTGCTTGTAGTGGATCGAAAACAGAGGGGATGGCTTTTGTGACAAAGCAAGGAAGGGTGGGAATATGATCCTGGCCAAAGCGGAGTCCTTCAGTGACCCAAAAGACCTACCTGGCTTGCAAACTTAAAAAAACAGACACAAAAAACCAACACAAACATAACCCCAGAAAAATAAAGAAAGGACAAGCTCTTTTCACTACATCATTTTAATTGCATTAACACCCAGAAATACAAAAAAAGGATACGTGCCAAAAGCCACCCATCAAAGAGCGCCATCCTTCCATGGTGGGTCTTACTTCCACACTCCTTTTACTCAAAAAAAAAAAAAAAAAGGAAAAAATTGCACCAGTTGATGTACAAACACAGTCTTCCCTTTGCACATATTTGTGGATTCTGCTGCAACAAGGAGGGTGAAGCCCCAGCGCTTGCCCTGGCATTGCCAGAGAGGCTCCTTGGGAAACAAAGAGTTGTACCAACAGTATGAAGATTTTCTTACAAACTGCAGTGTTTACTGTTTTTTTTGGGTTTTTTGTATATTTTAAGTTTCAAAATTAGGTTTTGGGTCACTAATGGCTTGTAAAATCTCTTATCTACAGTGAATTTAGCACATATTTTTATTTTTAGGAATGTGTAAGGCATTTTGGTAAGTTGAATGGTAAGGTCTAGGTTGCAGACTCGTCAAACTGAAGTCCCTTCCTTTGAACTGTCCTCTTTCCCCTGGAGAAGGAAAAAAGAGGTGGGTTACTCAACTGTATCTCATCCTTATTCTCATGGCAGCTCAAGCCCCAAAGCATTTCACAAATGGGCCTAGTCCTGCCTTTTGGGCAGGGAGAACCATGAGCATCATCTTGTGTGGTCCCAGGGCTTCCCAAAATCCAACCAAATCATTTCTGGCATCATTTCTTGCCTCCATTTTTAAAACACCGCCTGAT